TAGATAGATAGATAGATAGATAGATAGATAGATAGATAGATAGATAGATAGATGAAAGGTAGGTAGGTAGGTAGGTAGGTAGGTAGATAGATAGATAGATAGATAGATAGATAGATAGATAGATGAAAGGTAGGTAGGTAGGTAGGTAGGTAGGTAGGTAGATAGATAGATAGATAGATAGATAGATAGATAGATAGATAGATAGGTAGGTAGATAAATAGATAAATAGATAAATAGATAAATAGATATATAGGTAGATGGATGATAGATAGATAGATAGATAGATAGATAGATAGATAGATAGATAGATGAAAGGTAGGTAGGTAGGTAGGTAGGTAGGTAGATAGATAGATAGATAGATAGATAGATAGGTAGGTAGATAAATAGATAAATAGATAAATAGATAAATAGATATATAGGTAGATGGATGATAGATAGATAGATAGATAGATAGATAGATAGATAGATAGATAGATAGATAGATAGAGTAGGTAGGTAGATGATACATAGATGATAGGTAGAATGATAGATAGGTAGGTAGGTTGGTAGGTAGGTTGGTAGGTAGGCGTGTCTCATTTAACAATGGTCCTGCTTAGCCATGGGAGTTATAGTCGTAAACCGAGGACTATCTCTAGGATTGCCTCACTTAGCAATGTTTATTCAGTTTCTATCCTCTCTTCTGAATCAAAACCAGGCCGGAGTCATTGGTCCTTCAAAAGTACGAACCAAGATGTCCAGTTAAAACCTTACAGCTCTTTAAACAAAAACCAGTCAGAAATTACAAGAATGAAGGCCAATCTGTATCTCCCAGGATCCGATCCGGGTCGGTTACCGGCACCAGAGGCTTCGTCTGCTGGAGCATCCCCATCCTTGGAGATCTTCTCTCCAGGCACGGCTGAGTCCGAAAGATCCGAAGAGTAAGCCTCAGGTGCCGGTGACCGACCCGGATTGGATCCTACAGAAATTAGATGATTTCCCAGAGAAAGGAGTCATTTCTCCTTAGTTCTAAGTTGCTTCTCTCCTTGATTTGTTTCCGTGGTCCTGGAAGTGCTCCACATGGCCAACTCCTCCAGTTTCTTCCCACAGGGCTTGGATTCTGGCCACCTGCTTATCCTTGTGACCTAACTCTAAACCTCTTTCCAGTTTTCTCCGAATCCTTCCTAAAGTTTGATGCTTGGATCACGACACAAAATTCAAGCTGGGCTCCGACCAATGCAAAATAAAGCAGAAAACTCTTCTTTTAATTGAAACACAATGCATCTGCTGACACTTTCAATTATCTTCGTCTTCTTGCCAGCCCATCAGCTCAAGTTGTAGGCGACTAACATTCCAAAATCATTTTTATAAGTACAACTCTCAAGCCGGCTCTTCCCTCAGCCTAAACCTCTCCCTTAAGAGTCCTTGTTTCCTAAGTGAAGCCGGTTAAATGCACAGTGTTGCATTTGTCTCTGTTAAATATTATTTTTTGAACGCTATTTCCATCTTCAGGCGTATTAGCATTCCCTTCCGTTGTCTGTCGCAAGAAACCTACAAATTAACTTCCTCTTTGCAAGCCAATTTAACCCAGCTGCTTCCAGGCGTGATCCAAGCCCAGCTCCCGAATGGAATAGCAATAGCAACAGTATGTATGTACCTCTTCACAATGCTTTACAGCCCTCTCTAAGCAGTTTACAGAGTCAGCCTCTTGCCCCCTGCAACAATCTGGGTCCTCATTTTACCTGCCTCGGAAGGACGGAAGGCTGAGTCAGCCTTGAGCCGGTCAGGATTGAAGTCCTGGCTGTGGGCAGAGTTAGCCTGCAATGCAGCATTCTAACCACTAGGAAGAAAGGAAGGAAGGAAGGAAGGAAGGAAGGAAGGAAGGAAGGAAGGAAGGAAGGAAAATAGCACTAGCATTTAGACTTATATACTGCTTCACGGTGCTTTACAGCCCTCTCTAAGCGGTTTACAGAGTCAGCATTTTGCCCCCAACGATCCGAGTCCTCATTTTACCGACCTCGGAAGGCGGAGCCAACTTTGAGCTGGTCAGGTAGATGACTGACGGGGGTAGTTCTCGACTCAACAACCATTCACTTAGCGACCTTTGGAAGTTAGAACGGCATTCGAAAAGTGACAACCGGTCGTCACAACTGTTGCAGCACCCCCGCTGTTTGGTGATGACCAGAATTTGAACCCTTGACAGCCTGCATGTATTTATGATGGTTGCACTGAGAGTTGGGTTCCTGCGAGACGCTGAAGTTCAGACGAACCAAGCGTTCCTCCGAGCCTCGCGTGTTGGGTGAACCCACGCACCCGAAGAGTCCCGACAGCAGAAAACCAGGAGCTTCAAGTCAAAGCAACTGTTCTTCTGCCAGAGCAGGCGTAAGCGCCCTTCCTGCCTCGTCTGGGTTTCACCTGCTCCCCAACTTCGGATTTCTTCCCTCCAGCTCTGCACGCTCCTCCCCAAACAGCCGCGGGAAAGGGCAGCCCTGGATTGGCAGAGCCAACCTGCAGCTCGCCGGAGCATCGGGCAATGGGCGTGCTGAGAGCGGAGCGTGGGGGGAGTGGGTTGCATAGTATAGTCCAGGGGTAGGCAACCTCGGCTCTTTTATGACTCGTGGACTTCAACTCCCAGAATTCCTGAGCCAGCCATGCATGGCTGGCTCAGGAATTCTGGGAGTTGAAGTCCACGAGTCATAAAAGAGCCGAGGTTGCCTACCCCTGGTATAGTTACAGTACTCAGTTCCCCTTCTGGACCATCCAGCCTTGTGCAGATGTTCTCCCCTTGACAGCTGCTCTCTCTGTCCCTCTTCCTCCCCCTCCCCTTCCCCAAAAGACCCTGCCCAGAAGGAAAAAAAAAAAAAACCACCGTGGCATTTCTCCGAAGAGACAACCAGACCGGAAAATAAGTTGGCAGCCCCGTTTCCCAAGCCTCCCCGCCCTCCCCGTCTCCCATCAGTCCTGTGGTTGGTTAACACTCTGTTGTCTCCTTGTCTCTCCCCCCCCCACACCCCCCTCCCCGCAACCTCTGCGCTCACGACGGACAGGTGACTATCTCCGTGGACGGAATCCTGACCACCACCGGATACACCCAAGAGGACTATACCATGCTGGGCTCGGACGACTTCTTCTATATCGGAGGGAGTCCCAACACGGCGGATCTCCCGGGGTCTCCCGTCAGCAACAATTTTATGGGATGCCTCAAGGATGTGAGTCGCTGGGGAGGGGGGGGATGGTTGGGATAAGGTGGGGGGCGGTGCGCGGGTGGGACTGAACTTAGTGCTAGGGGAAGAAGGAACAGGGAGCACCTACTCTGCTTGATCCTTCCGCTCCCCGGTTTCTTAGCACAGTTTAGGGTTTTTCATGTCACTCGTACTGTTCGTATTGTTTCCATGTGTTTGCCTTTGCGAGATGGGTAACCATGTATAAATCAATTTAATATGTAAAGCCTCTAGTCCTCATGGTCTCAGGAGCTAGGAATTCTGGGAGCCACCACCACCTCCTGATGATGATGATGATGATGATGATGATGATGATGATAATAATAATAATAATAATAATAATAATAATAATAATAATAATAATAATAATAATAATAATAATAATAATAAATAAAAGCATAACACCCGGACTTAACAATTGTCGATAAGAAAGACAAAAAAGTCTGGATAGTGGACGTGGCAGTGCCTGGAGACAGCAGAATAGACGAGAAAGAACTGGAGAAGATAACAAAATACAAAGACCTACAAATAGAAATAGAAAGACTGTGGCAAAGGCAAGCAAGGGTAGTCCCAATAGTCATAGGCGTCTTGGGTGCAATCCCAAAACAACTGGAGCACCACTTGAACACCATCATCGGCATTGACAAATTCACCATTAGTCAATTGCAAAAGGCGGCCTTACTAGGAACTGCTTTCATCCTGCGATGATATCTGTAATATCATCAAACATCCACATCTGCCTATCCCAGGTCCTTGGGAAGGATTCGATAGGTAGACAAAAATGCCAAATCCAGTCTGAACATCTGGCTGACTGTGCAATGATCCATAATAACAATAATAATAACAACAACAAAATCAACCTTCTTAACAATTGGCATGACTTACATACATAACTCTGGACTCATAAATCAAGGACTGCTTGCCTTAATTTTGCACGACTGTTTGATTTGGCAGTACGATCATCAATCTCCTCTGTTTTTTGAACTAGATCTGATGCCTCTGATTTGGAGACAATATTGCACTGTCAACTGTCCCTCCTGTGTGCTTTGTTCAGGCAAGGCCTCCCTCCAGCTGGCTGAAACAGCCACACCAAAGTGATGCCAAACCGGGGAACCCTTCAGTCTGCTGGCCTTCAGGCCTGCAATACGGACCTTGTTCTGAGCCGGATTCAATTCAACCCCGTGCAATGGACCGGTTGATCTCCACCGGTCAGGCAGTTCAGATTGGATGGAGCTGACAATGGCACTGGAAGGAGAGGGCTACTGACGGATATCTGGCTGACGCTGCTGCTCTTCTCCTTTCCTTGCAGGTGGTCTACAAGAATAACGACTTCAAACTGGAGTTGTCCCGCTTGGCCAAGGAAGGGGATCCTAAGATGAAGATCAACGGTGACCTGGTCTTCCGTTGCGAGAACGTCGCCGCCCTCGATCCCGTCACCTTCGAGTCGCCCGAGGCCTACATTTCCCTGCCCAAGTGGAACACCAAGAAGACCGGCTCCATCTCCTTTGATTTCCGGACCACCGAGCCCAACGGGCTTCTCCTCTTCAGCCACGGCCGGCTCCAGCCGCCGAAGGAGAGCCGATCGGAGCGCGTGCACAAGGCCGATTATTTTGCCATGGAGCTTCTGGACGGCTACCTTTACCTGCTGCTGGACATGGGCTCGGGGGGCATCAAAATGCGGGCCAGCACCAAGAAAGTGAACGACGGGGAGTGGTGCCACGTGGACTTCCAGCGCGACGGGCGCAAGGGTGGGTGTGCGTGCGTCCTGAGCGGCCGTGCCTTGTCTTTCATTCAGCACTGACGGGCAAGGAAGGAGGCGTTGTCGGGTGGGCCGATGCTTCAGCAGTGGGAGGGAGGCAAGCGAAGGAATCTGGTTGCGGTTTCATCTTCCAGATCAATTTCTTTTTTTATTCTTTACCAGACAACCTATTATATAACCTGTTGGGTTGTCCACTGTCAATATTTACTCACCTGGAAACATTAACAAAGTGACCACAGGCGGGCAAAGAGACAGTGGAAGCCGGCGAGACTTCCAACTTTTGACTTCCCGCCAGCTTCCCCATTGACTTGGTGGGAAGCTGGCAGGGAGCGTCAGAAGCCTACGATCCCCCGACAGTGGGAGTACGGCGGCTACAGGTTTGCCCATATGTTTGATATGGAGATCCTTGAAATTTCAATTGTAGGGGAGAGGCGGGGGGATCTACTCATTCTTTAAGCTGGCAGAAGTGAGATGGCATTGTTGCCCTGGGACGAGCCATTTTGGCTAAAGAAAGGCGACAGACGGACAGGAAAGTCCTAGTAACACATTAGATTCATTTTCTGGCCTTATCTTGGCGGCAGAGCGTAGGGAATTTGGGAAGAGACCCTCCTGCCCCCTTTCTTTCCATTTTTCTTTCCGTGTCGTTATCGGAGAACTGGAAGGGCTGCCGGCGGTCCCCGAATCTCTTTTCTGCCACATGGAAGGCTGCCTCCCTCCCTGTCCCCTATTTCACTCAGGATCTGCAGGAATCCCCCGGCTGAAAGCCCACTTGCCAGTGAGGTCCTGTGATTTCAACAGGATCCCTGACCGTTCCCTCACTGATCCGGTAACTGGCAATTACAGAAAGCGGGTGAATTGAATCAGGTAGTCCTCGACTTAAGGGCCACAGCTGAGCCCAGAATTTAGGTTGCTAAGTGAGACGTTTGTTAAGGGAGCTTTGCCCCATTTGTTGTGAATCACTGCAGGGGTTGATCTAGTAAGTGAGTCTCTTTCCAGAGAAGGTCACAACGGGGGATCCCGTGACTCCGGGGCACTGCGAGGGCCGTACGCGTGAACCGGCTCTCTCTCCCTCTCTCCCAGGTTCCATCTCGGTCAACAGCCGCAGCACCCCCTTCCTGGCCAGCGGGGAGAGCGAGATTTTGGACCTGGACAGCGAGATGTACCTGGGGGGTCTTCCCGAGAACCGCCTGGACCTCATCCTGCCCCCGGAGGTCTGGACGGCCTTCCTGAACTACGGCTACGTGGGTTGCGTGCGGGACCTCTTCATCGACGGCAAGAGCCGGGACGTGCGCCGCTTGGCCGAGGTGCAGAGCGTCTCCGGGGTCTCCAGCTTCTGCTCCCGGGAGACCCTCAAGCAATGCGGCAGCTCCCCCTGCCACAACGGGGGCCTGTGCCGGGAGGGCTGGAACCGCTTCATCTGCGACTGCCTGGGCACCGGCTACCTGGGCCGGCTGTGTGAGAGAGGTGAGGGGGTGGAGGGGGTGGCTGGATGTAGGCCACCACTCTCAGGCTGGGTTCACACAACCTCCTGAACTAGGCTCGGCTGCAATCCGGGGGTGGCAATGATCAGGTCTAGTGGTTGGCTTCCACTGAATCAAGGGCTCCTTCCTTCCTTCCTTCCTTCCCTCCCTCCCTCCCTCCCTCCCTCCCTCCTTCCCTTCTTTCCCTTCCTTCCTTCCCTCCCTCCCTCCTTTCCTTCCTTTCCTCCCTCCCTCCTTCCCTTCTTTCCCTTCCTTCCTTCCTTCCTTCCCTCCCTCCCTCCTTCCCTTCTTTCCCTTCCTTCCTTCCTTCATCTCCCTCCCTCCCTCCCTCCCTCCCTCCCTTCCTTCCTTCCTTCCTTCCTTCCTTCCTTCCTTCCTTCCGTTTTTGGCTGGTGAGTTAGCATATTTTGTGAAGACAGAAAACGGGATAATTTAATAGCCAAGCTGGCCTGTTTTGCAAACCTAGCCACTGGGTGGCTCGGGGTAAAGTGATCCCACTTTCCTTACCTGCACCTGACAGGTAGAAAGGCAGATATTCACCCAACATGCTTTGATTTGCCCAACTGGTTGGGGGGGGAGTTCTGAGAGTTGACGTTCACCCACCTGAAAGATGCTGAGATTCAGGCCAAGCCTCCGGCTATTCTAATTCCTACCTGCCTGGCTTTTTCTTCCCTCCCAACCCCCCCCCTCCCCGGGACAGAGGCCACGGTGCTAAGCTACGACGGGAGCATGTACATGAAGATCATGCTGCCCACGGTCATGCACACCGAGGCCGAAGACGTGTCCCTCCGGTTCATGTCGCAGCGGGCGTACGGCTTCATGATGGCCACCACTTCCAAGGAGTCGGCCGACACCCTCCGCCTGGAGCTGGACGGGGGACAGATGAAGCTCACGGTCAACCTAGGTAACCAGCTGGCCCGGCCAGGGACGGTCCCATCCTCAGCCTTCCGTCCTCTCTGTCCAGAGAGCCACACTGGGGAAGCTACATGACGGGTGGGAGGGAGGTGAACCTCAACACTGCTCACCAGGGGACTTAATCCCAGCAGAGGAATCTTCAGAAAAAAAGACCCTTTCCGCAATTGCAAAAATCCCGTCTCTTTGGCTGCAGGTGAAAAATCCACTCGCTGGCTCGGAGCCTCATGCAGAAATATTTACACTTCTGGCTCTCTGTTTGGGAAGGCCTGGCGTCCCTTGCGAACGCCCCGTCCCAGAGGGGATACTCATGAGTAAAGGCCCCCCCTTGTAAGGAAGGAGTAGAGAGGCGCAAAACATTCCAATTTCTCTCGCTATTTTCAGCTCAGAAGATCCCGTCTTCATCTAATGCTTGTTTGGATGATTTCGTAAGGGTTTTGAGTCCCAAACAGCTGCTATTTGAGTTTGAGACAGATGTCAGGAGCCTGGATGGCCTCTGAGATAGTCGGAGCGGCCCGTTTGAACTCCAGATGTTTCCCACATTTTTAGGAAGAAGGCTTGAGACGTTGTTCCAAAGTCTCGTGTCCCCCCAGCCTTTGCGGAACAGGCTGAAAACGTCCCTGCTGGGTAGGCCACCTTGGGCCACTCCTGTGGGGTCAAACACAGGTCGTCCTCGATTCATGACCATAATTGAGCCCAACATTGATGCTGTTAAGGGAGATGTTTGTTAAGGGAGTTTTGCCCCATTTTACGACCGTTCTTGTCACAGTTGCTGCAGTTGTTAACTTAGGAACACGGTCGTTAAGTGATATTTATAATTTTCAGACTTTGGGTGACCACAATTTCCCTTATCTCACTTCATAACAAACTATAATATCCATTTTGTCCATTTAAGTATAACCTTCTTCTATTTCTTAAGAGTTTATCTATTTCCCACCGTATTAAATCATCTAGTGAATAACACAATATCCCCTATAAAAGGGCCAAGCCCTGTGGTCATTACGCAAAATAAAAATAAAAATAAAAATAAAAATTACATGACCGCGCCGGACTTAACGACATCCCTTCCCATTTGGGTGTTCAGTGAATCACTGTCAATCTTAAGCCAGGCGCCACGTGATGGTGACCTGCGCTTTTGCCACCCCCTTCCCCTTTGGCTCTTGAACCCAGGACCGTCCTAAATGCGAGGATGGGTTGCAAAGCTGTTTTGGGGGTTTTTTCTAAAACCATCCTACCTTCTAAGGGTCCCTAAAATAAGGCAGTTCGGTGAGCGAGCACGACCTGTTAAAAAAAAAAATAATGCAATCAAAGCGTATGTGAAGATCGCCTCCCTTTAGTGCGGATAGGTAATAACTCCACCCCGGTGGATATTTACTCATGAGTAATCCCAAGGAGAGGGTTTGCCTGGCCAATAATTTATTGGGAAGCCAATCAAACCCAGCCAGAAATAAGGGTGTGAAGAACCAGCAGTTGAAGGCCTGATGTTTGCCTTCCCTGGTCTCTTTCTCAGGCACTTGGAGGTCCTGTTGTGAGCCCGGGTGGATTTGGATTCCTCATATGTCACACACACACACACACACACACACACACACACACACACACACCCACTCAGATTTCTCTGCACGTGGGATGAGATGAAAGAGCCCATGGTGGGAGGCAGCCTTGGGAACAGGTTGGTCTACTAGCACCGCCCCCCTTGAGGATCCAACGCGGGCGCAGAGTTTGAGCCTGTTTCTTGGGCGTGGGGGGGTCCTTCCCTCCCTGCCTCTGCCAGCCCCCTCTCCTGACCATCGGACCACCCTCGTGGTGGCCGGGCAGAGAGAGAGAGAGAGAGGGCTGACTCTGCTTCCTGGATCCCACCTGTCCCCTGTCGTTGCGGGTTTTGACCCTTCATCGGTGCATAAAGAGCCAGCCCAGAGCAAGCAGCCACAGTGACCCAAATTCAGTCTCTCTCTCCCACCCCCCCACCCGCAGCCTTCCCCTTCCTGCTTCCCAGGATTCCTCTCTTCCCTCTCACCCCCCAACCCGGGAACTTCTGCCTTCCCACGAGAGAGATGTTTCCCGGTCCTGTGGCTGCTTGCACCCACTGCTCTGTGGAGGTTGACGGCACGCCGTGGCCCAGCTGTGCAGCTTGCGGAAAGGGAGGGGGTGGCAGCCGAGGCGTCCTGGCTGGTGGGAGGCATTGAGCTGGGGGGGGAGGGGGGAGGAATGGATGCCACTTCCCAATTTTGCCCCCTTTCCCTGCACAGCTGATCAACACAAGGGAGCCGCTTGCCAGCGCCGAGGGAGCCCCCCCCCAAACGATGGGCAAAGTCAGTCTGTAGCGTTCAAGATTGGAATCAGAAGCGGTGGCGGCCGGTTTCTCCGCCATGGCACCCCTAATTTGGGACCGGGCCCAAGCCCGCTGTTTTCTGGTGCTCGCAGTGGCCAATGGGCCGGGGCACATTTTGAGCATCGCCCACTGGGCACAGGTGGTCAGGAAAGACCGTATGGCAGTGTCTCTCGGCCCGAGCAACTTTGAGACGGGTGGACTTCATTCAACTCCCAGAATTCCCTAGCCAGAAAGGGGAGCTCATCAAGCCACCGAAGAAGCAGCCATCCTGCTAGAACGGTCTGCAGTCTTTTGTGCACAGATCAGCGGTGCTGGCTGGGAGATTCTGGGAGTTGAAGCCCACCCACCTTAAAGCATGCTGGCTGGGGGATTCTGGGAGTTGAAGCCCACCCATCTTAAAGCATGCTGGCTGGGGGACTCTGGGAGTTGAAGTCCACCCACCTTAAAGCATGCTGGCTGGGCGAATCTGGGAGTTGAAGTCCACCTGTGTTAAAGTGGCCAAGGTTGAGCAACATGGGCATCGGTGGATAACTTGAGCTGCCCCACCCTTTGGCTTTTGGTGGTGTTGGTGGTACAGAAAACAGCCGGAACCAAATTGGTGTTTGTGCCATGGATCGAGAGGCTCCCGGCCCCCTCTGCTTTCCAGGGGTCGCCAGCTGGGATCCTGACCCCCCCCATCCCCGGTGCCAGCGCAAGCGTCTCCCTTGGGGCCTGCCCGTCCCCAGAGGGTGGCCTGCATTGCTGTATTTTTTGGGTGTTTGGTGACAGATGTTTCCTTGAAGGATATAAAACTCTCTCGTTCTCTTCTCTCTCTCCCCCTCCCCACCCCGGCCCCCCGTCTCAGACTGTGTCAGGATAGGCTGTAACCCCAGTAAGTTGCCTTCTCATTTTTTTTCTCTCTCTCTCTCTTTTGGAATCTTTCTCTTTCTCTCTTTCTTTCTTTCTTTCTCTCTGCATCCATCTTTTCAACCCCTCCTTTTTCTTCAGCTCGCTTGCTTTGAAGCCCGCAGTTTTGGGGCTTCCCTGCTTGGGCCTTGTGGAAGAGGACATGCGTGTGCGTGTGTATGTTTGCATGTGCGTCTGTGTAACGGGGGGGGGACGGAGCTTTTGAAGGAGACAGACCGAAAGATGGAAGAGGAGATGGGGAGGTGGTTAGAGGCTGGAAAACCGGGAGGGGTAAACTTTCCCAGAGGAACGGTGGAGTCTCCCATCTTTCACAAGAAAAGAACAAGGACTGTGGGGTCCTTGGTGCAATCTGAGCTGGGTTGTTTCCTTGCGGACGTTTCATCACCCAACTAGATAACAGTATCAGCGCTAGAAGGGAGCGGGTATAAACAAGTGGCTTGCCCTGCCAGTGTTGGTGGGAGAGATGACGTTACCTAGTCAGATATATGTAAATATACTTAAATGTGGAGACTCTAGATCAGTGGTGGCGAACCTATGGCACGCGTGCCAGAGGCGGCACTCGGAGCCCTCTCTGTGGGCACCCGCGCCATTGCCCCAACCTTGCTTCCCCCACGACCCCCTCATCAGCAGCCCCCCTGGAGGAGAGTCGCCCCCGAGGGCGGCCCACGCGGAGCAGCGCAGCCAAGGACATGGCAGCCAGGCAGCGTAGACAAGACTCTGCCCTCACGCCCCATCGCGCACAGTTGATGCTGTGGGGTGCGGGCAGAGGGCGTGGCCACCATGGCGCTGCTGGGCTACCTGGGCGATCTGCGGTGGGTCCTGGAGGCGGTGAGTGGCCCTGCGGGCAGGCGGGGTGCAGCGGGAGCGGGGCCAGTTTTTGGGCACTCGGACTCTAAAAGGTTCGCCATCGTTGCTCTGGATAATGCAGAGAAGAGCAACAAAGATGATTAGAGGACTGGAGGCTAAAACATATGAAGAACGATTGTCTGGTTTAACGAAGAGAAGGACTTGGGGGACGTGAAAGCAGCCTTCCAATATTTGAGGGGCTGCCACAGACACGAGGGGGTCAACTTATTCTCCAAAGCACCAGAAGGCAGGACAAGGGCCAATGGATGATCAAGGAGGGAAGCAACCTAGAAACTAGGAGAAACTTCTTGACAGTGAGGACAATTAACAGCTGGCCTCCAGATGTTGTGGGTGCTCCATCACTGGAGGCTTTTAAGAAGAGACTGGACAGCCACTTGTCTGAAATGGTATAGAGACTCTCCTGCTCAAACAGGGGGCTGGACTAGAAGACCTCCAAGGTCCCTTCCAACTCCGTTATACGGTTAAGTCACCAAACATCCGTGAGCAAACCACCAAGCTTAGAGCATCAAGGACCCCACGATTCAACCCCGAGTTAAAACATTCTCTCCTGCTAGTAAGAACTCTGCAGGATCGGGCCCACGGCCCATTTAGCCCAGGCCTCTGACTAAATACCCTTGAGGAGCTAACAAACATTTTTAATACGCTTACTTAATTTAGTTTATACATGCATCATTAACAAGACCATCTTTAATCAGAAAGAAAACGTTCCAAAGACAAAAAAAAAAAACACAAACTAAAAACTCAAGTTAATAAAGAGGAAGAAAAGACACCCCATCTTTTACACTATGTGTAACGGTGTATTTTACAATCGTATAAGAGCCCTGGTGGCGCCAGGGGTCAGAATGCAGCACTGCAGGCACACTCTGCCCACTGCCAGCAGTTCGATCCCGACTGGCTCAAGGTTGACTCAGCCTTCCGTCCTTCCAAGGCCGGTAAAATGAGGACCCAGATTGTTGGGGGGCAACAGACTGAGTCTATAAACCGCTTGGAGGGGGCTGTAAAGCACTGTGAAGCGGTATATAAGTCTAGGCAGCATACTAAAAAGCAGAGACATCACCCTGCCAACAAAGGTGCGTAGAGTCAAGGCCACGGTTTTCCCAGTTGCAATGTATGGTTGTGAAAGTTGGACCATAAGAAAGGCTGAGCGCCAAAGAATGGAGGCCTTTGAACTCTGGTGCTGGAGAAGACTCCTGCGAGTCCCCTGGACTGCGAGGCGATCCAACCGGTCAGTCCTGGAGGAGATCAACCCCGACTGCTCTTTAGAAGGCCAGATCCTGAAGTTGAAACTCAAGTCCTTTGGCCACCTAATGAGAAGGAAGGACTCCCTGGAGAAGAGCCTGATGCTGGGAAAGATGGAGGGCAAGAGAAGAAGCGGACGACAGAGAAGGAGGTGGCTGGATGGAGTCACTGAAGCAGGAGGCGTGAGCTTCAATGGACTCCAGAAGGTGGTAGAGGACAGGAAGGCCTGGAGGAACGTTGTCCATGGGGTCATGATGGGTCGGACACGACTTCGCAACTAACAACAACAACAAATATTTTATATGGTTCATATTATAGTGGTGAATTCATTAGTGAACCAGTGACTAGGTTGAATAGGATAAAAATGAACAAATAGGGACAGGACTGGGGCTCCTTCTTCTAGGTGGCCCCACAGCAATGGGGATCCAAGGCCTGTGATTCAAGAGGCAGGAAACGCTTCTCCAAGGGTAGGTCCTACCGACGTGCAAGTGGTCAGGAGTTCCACATGACAAGAAAGACGTTCTTTTAGAAGGCTGAGATTTTTCTTTCATTTAGCCCCGATGGATGATCCCGAGGTGGAACACGGCGAGAAAGGGAGGAAAAAAAAGTCTCCTTTTGCACGTTTTAAAATTTGCCTCTGTCCCATCTCTCCGTTCCTCCCTCGGCTGCAAGGTTAAAAATTCCCCAATGTTTAATCTTTCCCTGTACCAGAACTTTCTCTAAATCTTCCTAAATTAGAATGGTGGCCTGCTTTTTGCAAAATAATAATAATTTTTTTTTTTATGCTTACGGAGGCAGCCCAGAAAATTTGATCCCTCTTTATGGGATCGCAAGCAGATTTAGATGAAGGCAAAGCCCGTTGGGCACAAAAGGAGATGGTTTTTAGTATTGCCTGTTCACCGCCCTGAGTCCCGCAAGGGAGATAGGGCGGTATATAAATTTAATAAATAAATAATAAATAAATAAATCAGGAAACAGGCCAAAATTGCTTTTTGCCCAGGCGAATTGCATAATCCGTGGGAAGAAGGGGAGAAGCCGTATCCCCTGCTTGGCTCACAAGGGCATGGACAGGTGTGCCTTGTCCTGTAGGAGGAGGCTCCATGGTCACACCTGTGGCCAGGTGAGCCTGGCTGCTAAACTCTGGACACTAATCCCAGAGGCAGGTGAGTTGGGGAACTGGCAGGCTTTGGTGGGGAGAGAGGGGGGTTTCCAGATGTGAGGTTCTGGCTGGGGAATTCTGGGAGCTGACTTCCACCCATCTTAAAGTTGCCCCAGTGGAGAAACAAGGCTTGATCAAGGCTTGATCAGGAATAAGGTAACCCCACCAGCATGGGACTCGTCTGCCACGTGTTTGAATGCACATGCTTGCTTTCCGAGGCTTGTATATGTGTGTGTGTGTGTATGTGTGTGTGAGAGAGAATGTATACACTTACTGCAGGGGTGAATGGTCTGGTGAAATTGTTGGCTGGGAATTCTCTGTCTCTGGGGCTGTGTTCCCTAAACGGGGGTCTGGGTCCGTGGGAGGGTGGGGAATCCACCCACTCTCAGATCCCCCCGAAAACAGCTGCTCTTGACCTCACCGTCCTGCCCACAGGTAAAGGGCCAGAAACTCTCTTTGCTGGCCACAAACTCAACGACAACGAATGGCACACCGTCCGGGTGGTCCGGCGTGGGAAGAACCTGCAGCTCTCTGTGGACAACGTCACCGTGGAAGGTAAGCCAGAGAGGAACAGATGCACGCGATACAAAGACCGGGTTCGCACAACCCCTTAGACCAGAGGTCTTCAAACTTGGCCTTTTGGTGACTTGTGGATTTCAACTCCCAGAATTCCTCAGCCAGGCACGCTGGCTGAGGAATTCTGGGAGTTGAAGTCCCCTCCTCTTAAAGTCTATATCAGGGGTCTTCAAGCTTGGCCCTTGTATGACTTACGGACTTCAACTCCCAGAATTCCTCAGCCAGGCACACTGGCTGAGGAGTTCTGGGAGTTGAAGTCCATAAGCAGGGGTCTTCAAACTTGGCCCTTTGATGACTTGTGGACTTCAACTCCCAGAATTCCTCAGCCAGGCACGATCCGTATACAGGCCATCCTCGACTTACGACAGTTCATTTAGTGACCGTTCGAAGTTACAACAGCACCGGAAAAAGGGAATTATTTAATGACCGTTCGAAGTTACAACAGCACCGGAAAAAAGAGATTTTCATACTGAACGACCGTTGTAGCATCTCCATGGTCACCTGACCAAAATTCAGACGCTTTGGCAACTGACTCATATTTACGACGGTTGCAGTATCCCCGGGTCACGTGATCCCCTTTTTGCGACCTTCCAGGCGAGCAAAGCCCGCGGGGGAGCCCGATTCACTTCACAACCGGGTTAGCAACTTAACAACTGCAGGGCTTCGCTTAGCAACCGTGAGAGGAAAGATCGTAAACTGGGGCAAAATTCACTTAAGGACTGTCTCGCTTAACAACAGAAATTTGGGGCTCGATTATAGTCGTAAGTCGAGGACGACCGGCATTTCCTTCCCCCTGTGTTTAAGGCCATCCTGTGCATCAGATGAAGGGGGGGCTGCCCAGCTCACAAATGCTTCAGCTTGTGATAAACAGTGGAAAAGAGGCTGCCAGATGTTGGAGCCCTGCAAACTCACACAATCCTGCTCTTACCTGTGTTCACCTGTCCCTTTGCCATTCTTCCTTTCTGCCACAAGAGGGCAGCAAGCCATCTTGGAAATGGTTCCTTTCCTTTCCTGACTCAGGCTCTTAAACAATCGCCCACTTTGGCCACTAGGGGGAGATTCAGAACAAGCCATCCTGGCTTGTAAACAAAACAGCTGGATTCTGGTCCAGCTGCCATTCTGCAACGGGCAAAACCTGGTTTGCTGCGCTGTGGCTTTGCACGCTGTACATATCCACCCGTTTGTGGCTATGTAGACAAATGGGTGTAATTGTGGCTGTGTCTACGGAGAGCTTCTGCACCGGAGACAAATTTGTTGCGTGTCTAATCACACTTGGCCACTCTGATTAGTATTCAATTTAATTCAGTTCAGTTCATTTGGCCCACATATGAATTGTGCAGAGTCAGAAGACAGATTTAATTCAGTCATCAAGTTAGGCGTGCAGATCCAGCCCACCAGGATTAGACCCTGATTAATAGCGATGATGATGATGGATAGAATTAATAGCATTACAGTCAAAGGGGCGGACAGGCTACAGAGAAGTGAAGCTGGAAATAAAAGTTTGGCTAAAGTGGACAGCCACTGAAATGGTATAGGATCTCCTGCTTGAGCAGGGGGCTGGACTAGTAGACCTCCGAGGTCCCTGATTGATTGATTGGGGCTGAAAGGGCTTTGCCAGGCTTCTGAAAACCTTGGATTCCTGCAAGCTCTTAACCCGGTTCCTGATTTAGCCTCTTTGCTGGATTTTCCTGGGCACGGCCTCTCTCTCCGAGGCCTTGCCGGCTCTCTGCTTGGCATGCTAATATTTTGCCCCCCTCCCCTTTGCTCGGCCCAAGCAGGGCAGATGGCGGGCGCCCACACCCGCCTGGAGTTCCACAACATCGAGACGGGCATCATGACGGAACGGCGGTTCATCTCCATGGTGCCCTCCAACTTCATTGGCCACCTGAGCAGCCTGATCTTCAACGGGATGCCCTACATGGACCTCTGCAAGAACGGCGACATCAGCTACTGCGAGCTGAACGCCCGCTTCGGCCTGCGCAGCATCATCGCCGACCCGGTCACCTTCAAGAGCAAGGCCAGCTACCTGGCGCTGGCCACGCTGCAGGCCTACGCCTCCATGCACCTCTTCTTCCAGTTCAAGACCACGGCCACCGACGGGCTCATCCTCTTCAACAGCGGCAACGGCAACGACTTCATCGTGGTGGAGCTCGTCAAAGGGTGAGGCGTGGGCCCCCCGTGGGCCCTGGCCAGGCGGCTTGGCCGTCCGGCAAGCACATGGCAGGGACAGGGTCAGTTGTCCCTCTGCGTCCTCTGCCAGAATCTGCCTCTCCACCAGAGCCCTTTGCCCACTGAGAGGCGTTTCCGTTCCATCCTCTCTCTCCCCATACAGTAGGCTCCCCCCTCCCCGGCACCCGTTGGTCAATGACAAATTCTGCTTTAAAGAAACATCTTCCTCCTTTTTTCCTTCCTTCCTTCCTTCCTTCCTTCCTTCCTTCCTTCCTTCCTCCTTCCTTCCTTCCTTCCTTCCTTCCTATCCTTCCTTCCTATCTCTTCTTCCTTCCTTCCTATCTCTCCATCCTTCCTTCCTTCCTTCCTTCCTTCCTTCCTTCCTTCCTTCCTTCCTATCTCTCCTTTTTCCTTCCTATCTCTCCTTTCTATCTCTCCTTCCTTCTTTCCTTTCCTTCCTTCTTATATCTCCTTCCTTCCTTCCTTCCTTCCTTCCTTCCTTCCTTCCTTCCGTCTTTCCTGTCTCTCCTTCCTACCTACCTACCTATCTCCCCTCCCTCCCTCTTTTTAGGAATCCCAGCCAAACTAAATGACCACCTCCGATTTTCCGCCCCTCCCTGCATGTCGCCCTCTGGGCTCTCCAAGCACTGGGTCCCCAGCCCGGCCCTGGGTTCCTCCTATTGCAGACAGACGATAGAGATGGCAGTGCAGAGAGGAGCCTGTCTTGATGGAGGTCCAGGCATCAAACTTCTCCCCCTGCCCTTTGGAGTTTTAATGGCTGCTCAGGGCGTCTCTCGGGGCCCCTGGAAGACCCTGCTCTGGGCTGGCCTTGTCCTCCTCCTGCCTGGGCAGCTGCTGATTCCTGCCTTGTAAGATTAGGCCCTCGGAGGCCCAAATAAAATGGAAATATTTACGTCTGGTGAGGAACTGGAATGAAATCCTCTGCTTTCGTCAGCTGCTTTTCTCAGCAGGGTGCGGCTTGGCTAGCTGACGTGAGCCACCTACTGCCCATGTTCTCAATTGAATTGAATTTCTTTTTTTTTTCTGATTCCTTCTGTTCCGGCCACCCTCTAGGTACATCCACTACGTTTTCGACCTGGGCAACGGGCCATCGCTGATGAAGGGGAATTCGGACAAGCCAGTAAACGACAACCAGTGGCACAACGTCATTGTGTCCCGCGACACTAACAACGTCCACACGCTGAAGATCGGCTCGCGCACTGTCACACAGCACTCCAATGGCGCCCGCAACCTGGACCTCAAAGGTGAGCCAGGAAATTTCCACCAGGTGGGATCCTCCTCCAGGGTGCTGAAAGGGCAACTCCTAGCCCTGCAGTCAGAACTACAGAACCCATCATCCGGAGACTCTGGAAGGGATCAAAGCAGCAGTTTCCGGTTGAGGCACCAGGGGGCGACATTTAGGCCTTCAGCCCCCCCCCCCC